CCCCGCGTCGTTATAAACTTATAACGAATTAACCGCAACAAAATGTTTTACTCACTGTTTTCTATGAGGCTGAAGTAAGCAACCAAAAGAACGAGACATGCGGTAATGATCGCGGACGAAATCAACAACAGAGTCCTCCGCCCGACCTTGTCGATGAACAGGAACGACACTCCGGAAGCGATTAGTTGGAATGTACCCACTATGATGCACGCAGTGTTCGGGTCGATGGTGGATCCGGATATTTTGAATAATGTGGAAGAGTATTGGATCACACCACCGGCGCCGGACATTCGTTGTACGAGCACCAGGCCAAAAGAAATGACCGTCACTCTAGTTAAAAATTTTCTAAAAACATTTAAAAATCATGTTTTAGATTATTGTAAAAAACATGAACCTCGTTCACATTGCTCGATCGTTCGATCGGTGACTGCGTAATGTAATCAAAGGTAAGTAAGTAAACTGTTTTTTTTTTTTTTTAAATTTAAGTTAATTATCTAATAAAAAAAAAAAAATAACAAAGCTTGATTGATATTGGTTTTGAAATATAAATTAACTTAAATAACTAAATTATAGTTAGACATTTTCAAAAACATAATAACTTAAGTTAAAAGTTATCTTTTTAATTACCATTTACCACATTCACAAATGTATTTATTTTTAAGAAGTGGACAATTAATAGTAATACTTTTATAGTTTTGGTATATGATAGGCTAGGCTAAATATTATTAGAGAACACATCTGACTTTTTACATATTTATGTAATAAAAATGTGTTTATGAAAAAATGTTATTTTTTTTCAATCACTGTGTAAGAGCAGTTTTCATGGCTGCTTAATGTGTATATAGTCATAAAATATTAGGTCTGTCATTTTAGAAATTTGATATTATTATTAAACTTCTTAAGGGTTTTAGAAATATTGGATAGTTAATAGTTTTAATTGAATGCCAGTTATTGTGCTTATCGAGTCATTCATCGAGAGTTTGGTTCAAATTGTTATCGTACAATACTGAAATGTGTATTGTTCAGCATTGGTTTACAACAARAACAGGCAACATCGCGTTATTGATAAACTTTAATACAATATTAGTAAACGTAAATCGTAAAAAAATATTATTTTACTTGTTTTCGGCACTCATATTTCCACCACGTTCAAACAACTCATCGTCGTGGCACTTGGATGTCTCTATTTTATCGAACTCATTTTTGACATTGAACCGCCTGCCCCTTAACCATCTGAAATGTAAGCAACAAACACCACAATTAAGTAAATTCAAAATAATGTTTTAAATTGTTTTAACTTACTCTAGCCTTAATTAAAAATTTGTTTTGAATGAATAATGGCTTACAGGTAATCTGATAATTCTGATGTATAAATACCCAGTTTTTTGAATTTATATCAGTTTGGGTTTATTAAATTATTATCATGTTAACTGTAGAAAAAAAGGTTTAATTTAATATCATACTCTGAATCACTATAATATCTATGTATATATCGTAAATAACTGATAAGCATTCACATTTAAAAATTTAGATGATCTGCAACAGTAAAAAATAGCAAGCATTATCCCTAAAAATTGTGATCTAGTGCTTCGCTTGTAAAACTTCAAACTCTCAATAGTTATAAAAGATCTCCACGATAAAAATATGATWAAAAAAAAAATTCAAATATACGAAAATGAGATACAGTCAACATCACTAAAACCCGACTAGCTTATAGAGACGAGTGAGTTCTAAAAAATTGTATTCACTCGGTTGGATTCAATTAAAATAGATAATTTATTGCATTACCTATATTATAAAGTACGATAAAAAAGAAAAAACTGACCTCAGCTCCGATGCCGCTTGTTCATACCGGCCGACGTTGTACAGGTAGACGGGCGACTCGGGCATGTACGAGAACAGCACGACAAACATAATCGGCACGGCGGTACACGCCAGACAGAACTGTCGCACTCCCAGCAACACCGTCCTGGCCACGTAGCCGTACAGTATGCCGGCGCACAGCATGAAGTCCAGAAACACCCCCGTGCGGCCACGCAACATGTCCGACGACACCTCGCTGGCGTAAAGCGGCACGGCCACGGTGGTCGCGCCCACCGATATACCGCACATGAACCGTCCCAAGCACTCCAGGAACATCTGCGAACACATCGTACACGCGATTTGCATATATTTGTCGTTGTCGTTGTCATAGTTGTCGTGGTTGTTGTGATCATCGCGCGTTTGGGCCAAGGCGAAAAATCATTGCAAATATTTCAGGCGCGGGTGCAGTTTTCTCGCGGACGGTTATCTCGGTTTTTTATTACATATTACAGGCTGTACCGTAATTTACAATACTTATATCAGACGATCGATGCCCATCGTAGTYGTGCTACAATGCTACAAAAGTGTTATAAAAATCTTTGAAAATATGTGAAGTTAACATTATTAATTCTTGGGTTGCAACGACGGACGATCCTCAAATAATCATTATAAAGTACTTGCCATTTAAAATAACAAGCGTATTTAAATGTATTTCACAGTAACATATTGATATCATCGGGTAAAATCTCTATATGAACGACGTAATTTATATAAGAATTCTGTGAACGAATTATTGTGAAAAACGAATAAGCAGTAGATATTGGTATTTAAACTGGAAATAGGTGAGTAAAATTTACGTAAAATCATTTTTTATCGATAAAGTCTCGTCTATTGCACCAACCCGTATACAACATGAATACATTGATTTTTGAAATAAAACGGCACGTGAATCGATTAACATGCAGTAGGTATGTATATATATTACGTCGTGGGGGACGAGGTGGCCGAGCGGTCTAACGCGTCGGCTGTGGCTCAGCCGGTCCGGGTTCGATCCTCGACCATCGGGCGACATATTTCTCCGGGCAAGTCACGGTGTCCGGAGAACTAGTGCCGCCATCCCCCACTCCGGGGCATGGCAGAAACTTACGGATGCCCCAATAGAAATTCTGCCAAAATTCTCACCCACGTGGATAACCATCCTACCGTTTCATAAAACCTACAGTACTACCCCATTCCCAATGGCCTTAGTTGCCGCGGGATAATAAAAAAAATAAATAAAAATAAATATTACGTCGTAATTATCAACACTAAACGGAACAAAAATGAGGTTTAGGTAAAAGTACATTTTATTATGATACGTAGAAAAGCGATAACCGTGGACGTCAACAAGCGGTCGTCAAAATAGGTTCGACTCGATATTTCAATATTCGGGATATACTATATATATTATTGCGTGTTGGAAATGAATTAACATAATGATTTGCATCTACATATTGTATTACCATTATTCTGGGTGATTTTTTTTTCATATAGGTATACCGTAAAAATCATAGATATTACTGCTCGWATGAAATTATATTGATAGGTATAGTTAAATTATTTATTGGTATAGGCAAAACGTTATAATGATTATGACGGTGTAAAACGATTACTGAAATTAGTAGGTAATTATGAATACCAAATGTCTAAGAAAAAAACGCGCTATTCGACTGCGTTGTAATAATTGCAAGTGCGTCAATTATGTAATTCAATCCATATTAAGTATATGATAATATATTAGATATTTTTCCATTAGAATAAAATAACCATGTTAACCRCGAACCTCGTCATTTATGTTATCATGATAACGCCAAAATATTTTTTATTCATATGCATAATAAACTCGAGAACAATACCGTACACCAGCCGACGAGAAAGCACGCCATGCAATAACATCCCCAGATGCGATTAGACTCAACTGTTTCACCCTACACGACGCTAAATCCATAATAAAAACAATTTCTAATAACATAATATGGCTACGGACATGGAAAAAAGGTTCCACAAAATTAAATTAAATTAAAAATTCCATACATCCATGGCCCTACCTGTCGGACTCCTCAAGGAAAATAGAAACCGCAATAAACAGAATGCGAATAGGTCACACATGGCTAACACACCAATATCTGATAAAAAAGGAAGACACCATTTGTGCCAGTTGTGGTATTCCTCTCACAATTAAACACATCATATCCGAATGCCGCATATACGAAACGGACAAACGGGAAGCAGGTGTATCCAACATTTTATCAGAAGCCCTGCACCCAAACAATATTAATAATTTGATAACATTTATAATTAAGTCCAAGCTTATAAAT